GCTATAAATAGGTATAAATGATAAAAAGAAGGCTTTAAAAAGATCAGTATCGGTGATCGGTATCGGCAGATACTTCTTTCTGTGATTGGCAATCGGTGATCGGGCTCAAAAATCCTGATCGGAGCACTAGTGATGTTACGTTCTGTGCCGAGGCTTCGGAGCATGTGTGGAGAAATCCCAGCAGCTTTCAGTGAAGCGCGTATCGAGGCTTGTATCGCTTTAGATAACGTAAGAAAAGTATTTTAAATGTTTTGCCACTTGCTTGAGCAACTTAATATATAAATCTAGAAGTAAATGCAAAAGTAAAAAGCATTGAATAATGTGCTGCTTATATTTATTGTGTTTAAACATGTCTGTGAAAGTAGTATTACTGTACTGTGTAAAAAAAAAGTTGCAATGCTGAAAAAGCATTTTCAGTGACAATGTGTGGATTTGAAATCAAAATACTGCATAAATGTTGTGTTTGTGGTAAATGGCCACGGATCAGTAGCGGACTCCTGTGTGAAAGCTGCTTCCCCTCTCACAAGAGTCACCTAAGAGGGGAATTCCCCCCTATTTAAAAAATGAAATTCAGGCCCTGAATAAATGTCTAAAAATCCTGATTGGAGTATCGCTATAAATAGGTATAAATGATAAAAAGAAGGCTTTAAAAAGATCAGTATCGGTGATCGGTATCGGCAGATACTTCTTTCTGTGATTGGCAATCGGTGATCGGGCTCAAAAATCCTGATCGGAGCACTAGTGATGTTACGTTCTGTGCCGAGGCTTCGGAGCATGTGTGGAGAAATCCCAGCAGCTTTCAGTGAAGCGCGTATCGAGGCTTGTATCGCTTTAGAGCAATGACGTCATTGATGACGTCCGAAGCCTCGCTTGGTCTGACTGGTTCAGGAAGCGGTTCGAATCTTGTAAATTCACAGTCCTCTGCCCTGTTAAACTCAGCCACTTTCCAGTTTTAGACTAATAATATTGCCCCTCCTGCCTATTATGAGCAAAGACTTGATTTACACATATTTGATAGCCCCATTCATTTCAAGCCAATACGTTTATTACACAATTATGTTGTACAATCATTATAAAATGCACATTATATTCATATAAATAGATTAGTCTATTTGGAAATTAATTTTTTTTTCTTCACCATTATTTCTAACCCTTAACTGGCGCAAAACAGTGTATCATAGATCACATCAGGTCATCTGTAATGTATCTGCATGTTTTACACTGTTTGGCCACCGGGTGGTATTGTGAGCAAATGAAGCCTCGAGAAATGAACCCTTTTGTGAACCACTTGGATGAAAAGCTTCAGTGCTTCATAATGCTTCATCTCGCCATCACTAGGGAGCACCCCTATTGTCGACCCACCAGTTCACATTTACAACTCTGTGTGTTTGCTGCTTAAAAACATGGGTTGATTTTTTTTTACATTGGTCTGAACAAAAACAGCAGACGGGCTTATTGAAAATGCTCATTCATTCTCTGCCAGCAGGTGGCGCTTTCGGAACGGCAGAAATACAGCGGTTTCCCAGGCAACGACTGAACACAAAGCAGCGCAGCTATTTATGCAGCGCTCATATTTATTCAATGAAATCAAAATAGCCTTTTGATGTTTAATCGTCACATTCAGCCATATCACAATTCTTGTCTTTCCATCCCCAAATTTAAGACCACCTGAAAGACTTTCTTGTACCATTTAAGATTTTTTATGGCCTTACATTTGATACAACTAAATTCAACACTTTTTAAGGGCCTGCCAACTTTCATAAATTTTGAGAATGTCATTTTTTTCACTCACTGAAAGTTTCATCTGTCTGCATGCCGCTTTCTGTTCTCTTCACTGCATGCATGCCTGCACATCTGACCATAGCAACAGTTAACCTTAGTAGCAACCCGTGGCACCACAGGACCCAAACGGCTCTACTGAGCTGACCTTGATGTGCCTAATATAAATTTGATTTTATTAGAAAATAGCATTTGCGGTCCGGATTCGGACCAGAGTCCACCAGTTGACGACCCCTGCCCTAGGCCATAACAAGGGGAATCATGAGGAGGTCTATTTTTGTTGATGACTTTCTACAGAGTATATTGAATCAGACTTGATCTTTATATTTACAGATGTTTCTATAAGTGATGATAGACCTTCATTTCTATCTTGTCCTGTCCACTCTAGCTTTGAAATTCTCGTTTGACGTCATTGACACGATTCTTGTGTGTGATGTTACCAAACGTGGGTGAGCAAGTTTGAATATGTGGAATGGAAAATTAAATTTGAGGACTGCAGCAGAAGGAAAGATGTTGTTGTTTACCTTTTAATGATGAAAGGACAAAAAAGAACATATACTATTATATTTCAGTATGTTTTAACCAAAAACACATTTCTTATACAGTAATGTGATTTGATTTTTTGTCTCTGTCTTTCCCCCTGCAGTCCTGAAATCAGTCTCTCAAGTGAGTCTCTGTGAGGAGAAAGAGGGTGTTGTTCATTACCAGAGAGCACAATATCTAGGGCCCAGCCGTGTCTATAAAGAGTAAGAACTCAATGTATGAACTCCTTAGCAGTGATATAAAGCACAACAGTCAGGTTCTGGCAGTAAAAATCCCATTCATGGCAATGTATAAACCTTATGTGAGCTCTGATGCAGTTAAGCAAAAATATGTTTCTGTAGAAGAATTATGTTTAATAGCTCAGCAGTGTTGGATCCTTCCGATACCCCAGAAATATTGGATCCAGTCTATGTACCATATCCTGTCAGAATATGTCAATTTTGTCTGGTATCCAAAACCAGTCAACAGAGTCTTGTCTGATACCTAAAACATTGTAACACTGTATTTTGTCCCAAGAAGCAGTGAGTGGTCTCTATTGGAAACAATAAACTGAATTTTATTAACAAATTAAATGGTTTTCTTTTGCAGATTTCAGTGCCTGAATTATTTCGATGTTTTACTAATTATATGGGAAGAATGACACAGAGAACAACATCTCCAGTATCCAGCTGTGTGTCTATCAAGAGTAACAGCTCTATTTGTCACCCTCCTGATCTCAGTAATAGAACAGTGACATCTGACCCTGTGTGAGTAGAAACATAAAATGAAACTCTGAGATGTTTACCTTGGCAAGAGTTATCTTTATTAACTTAATGATATATTTTTGGTGACATAAAAATGCCATTTATTTACATCCCAATTCACCTACTTATACTATACACTAAAAGTATGTACTGTATGTACTGTTTGTGACAAAAAAAAAAGTAAATACTTTTGAGTGTGTAGCAAACGAGTAGGCAAGCCTTGGTTGGGACATACCCAGCCTGTCAATCATCCTGTGACAGTTAACACTTATTCCTCATACACACACACTCCACATGTTATTTAATGAATTTTTAGGCATACTTTAATGGCATACTTTTATCAACACACTGTGCTTTTGTACCTTTTCATGCTGTTTAGGATTGAAAGGTACACACTGGGATGCAGGGCATGTCTCCTTTCAACAAAAAGTACTATATGGATGTAATTTGAGATGAAGTACATATAAGTAATTGAAGACCAGACACCAGAACCATTTGAAAATGTTTTTTTAGTTACTACAGTCATAGAATACCATGTTGTTATAATGTACAATGTTTTATTTAAACATAAAATTATGTCTGTTTTTGTTCTGTTATTTCTGAGAAATTGAAACCGTTGAAACTGTACTGAGAAGAAAGAGACTAGAAATGTTATGTATTTTATGCATCTTAAGACTCAATCCCATACTTTGACAGAAATTCTTTGAAAGTACTGGTCATTATCTGGATACCGACTATAAAAATCTCACATAATGTTAGGTTTTTGTGTATATTAAACTATTTGTTTCCTGTGTCTTTTTTCTTGCTGCTGTCTCTGCAGTGGTGAAGGAGGTGATCCAGTCTTTACTTCCTCCTCCAGTCAGATCCACATCAGGCAGCACAACAAAGCAGCTCTGCAGACACACACACTGCTGGAGGATTCTCACCAACCGGCAGATGATGTCCTGCACAGAGTAATAGAGACTCACAAAACCTACATGAAGAGAAAGTATGAGAGCTTATTTGAGGGAATCAAACTACAAAAGAATCAAACCCTGCTGAACAGGATCTACACACAGCTCTACATCATAGAGGGAGAGAGTAAAGGGGCGAATGAAGATCATGAGGTTGTGCAGATGGAGAAAACACCTAGAACACATAATTCACAGCACACTCCAATAGGCTGCAATGACATTTTTAAACATGTACCTAAACCAGGATGTGAGGAGCAAAGAAAACAGAGGAAAGTTGAAATCAAGACTGTTCTTACTAAAGGCATCGCAGGAATTGGCAAAACCGTCTCTGTGCAAAAGTTAATTCTGGATTGGGCCGAGGGAAAAGCCAATCAGGATGTAGATTTCATGTTTGTGCTTCCATTTCGAGAGCTGAACTTGATTAAAGATCACCAGTATAGTCTTCACAAACTTCTGCTGTACTTTCATCCTGAACTTCAAGTTCTGGACTCCAAGATTTATGATGAATGTAAAGTTGTCTTCATCTTTGATGGTCTGGATGAAAGCAGAATTACACTGATGTTTTCACACAGACAGAAAGTTTGTGATGTGCATGGGTCTTCATCGTTGGGTGTGTTGATAACAAACCTCATTAAAGGAGATCTTCTTCCATCCTCTCACATCTGGATCACCTCCAGACCAGCAGCAGCCTATGAGATTCCTTTTAAATACTTCAACCGTGTGACAGAAATTCAGGGATTCAGTGACCCTCAGAAGGAGGAATATTTCAGGAAGAGAATCAGTGATGAGCATCAAGCCAGCAGAATCATCTCACATATCAGAAGGGCAAGAAGCCTCCACATCATGTGCCACATCCCCGTCTTCTGCTGGATCTCAGCCACTGTGCTTCAAAACATCCTAAAACACAATGACAGTGAAGAAATCCCTAAAACTCTGACTGAAATGTACATACATTTTTTGCTCATTCAGACAAATAGAAGGAATCAGAAGTATGAAGAAAATGACCCAGTGAAGCTCCTACAGTCAAATAGACAAATTATTGTGAAACTTGCTGAACTGGCTTTCAAACAGCTGATGAAGGGCAATGTGATGTTCTATGAGGAGGACCTGATTGAGAGCGGCATAGACGTCACTGATGCCACAGTGTGTTCAGGGATTTGCACTGAGATCTTTAAGGAGGAATCTGTGATTTTTCAAAAAAACGTCTACTGCTTTATACATCTGAGCTTTCAGGAGTTTCTTGCTGCTTTCTATGTGTTTTACTCATATATTGTTAAGAACATGCAAACGCTGAAACTTCTCTTTGTAGAGGTTAAGTGGTTAAAGTCTTGGAAGCTTTCTGAGCTACTAGAATCAGTAGTTGACAAAACCCTGTGTAGTAAGACTGGACATCTGGATCTGTTCCTGCGGTTCCTACTGGGCATCTCGCTGGAGTCCAATCAGAGACTCCTACAGGGTCTTCTGACACAAACAGAGAACAGCTCAGAGAGCATCAGGAACACCACTCAGTACATTAAATACACAATCAGAGCTAACGATGATTTCTCAGCTGACATATCCATCAATCTGTTCCTCTGTCTGCTTGAAATGAAGGATGAGACTCTTTACAAAGAGATACAGGACTTTGTGAAATCAGACAAACACTCAGAGGATAAACTCTCTCCTGCTCACTGTTCAGCAATAGCTTACGTGCTTCAGATGTCAGAGGAGGTGCTGGATGAGCTTGACCTCAAGAAATACAACACAACAGAGGAGGGTAGGAGAAGACTGATACCAGCTGTGAACAACTGCAGAAAAGCTATGTGAGTATTCATTTATCTCATAATGTAAATTCTCTATCAAGTCAACACTGTTTTCTTTTACATTAACATTAATTTGAAGAAAAAGCCTGGGACTTCTTTAAAACGAGAGAATTGTTTTAAATATCCCGACAACTAAAGAGCATTAGCATGCTGTACCAACCTTGGCCACGAGGTGCCACTATCAGTAAGCATAACATCTAATGCTTACACTGCTTTTTCTGTTGATCTATCTTTTAATAAATTTACAAGAAGGTTTTGCACATTGTAATCAAGACAGAGCATGAGCGCAGAATATGCAGGGATGCGTGGGACATGTTACCTGCACTTTTAATAAAACGTAAATTAGCACTTTTTCATTGAAATGTGTTTACGTAAAGTTTTTCATGGGGCAATGCGAATGCATAAATTTAGGTTTTTCTATGCAGTAGAAGCGTCAGCGGGACCAGGCTCTGTGGAGGGATCAGAAACAGGATTATGGTAAGGCTTAAGTAGTGATACATGGAAGGATGAGTGAATTCTGTAATGTGCAGGAAGTTGGAGCTGGTAAGTGACAGGGTTAATCTGATGGATGATCATGATGGGGCCGATGTATCTGGGGCTCAGCTTTCTGCTGGGCAGATGCAGCCTGATATGTTGAAGTCAAATCTTGTAAAGAAGAGTGCCCAGCGGGCTTGTCGAGAGTTGAGTCTCTTGGTTTCTCTGAGGTATTCAAGATTCTTATGGTCAGTTAGGACCGTGAAGGGATGTCCGGAACCCTCCAACCAATGCTTCCATTTCTCCAGGGCAAGTTTGATGGCAAGCAGTTCTCTATTCCTGATATCATTATTCCTTTCTGCCGGGGTGAGCTTTTTGGAGTAGGAGGCACATGGTTGGAGTAAGGCTGGAGTCCCCTGCTGCTGGTTTCAACTTCAAAAAAGAAGGGTTTGTCTGGGTCGGGATGGATAAGGAGTGGTGCTTGGGTGAAGGCTTTCTTCAGGGTGTTCATTGCCTCTGTTGCTGCTGGATTCCAAGACAGAGACTTGGGTCTGTTTTTGAGAAGGTTTGTCAAGGGACTGGTAATGATACTGAAATTCTTGAAGCGGCGGTAGAAGTTTGCAAAACCAAGAAATCTCTGGAGTTCCTTGATAGTGGTTGGAGTTGGCCAGTTATGCACTGCTTCCACCTTCCCCTTATCTTTTTGAATGCCGTACTTACTGATGGTGTAACCAAGGAACTGAAGTGAGGACTGATGGAATGTTCACATCTCAGTCTTCAGGTAAAGATGGTGCTCCCTTAATCATTTTAAGACTTTCAAAATGTGGAGGCGATGTGCAGCCAAGCTCCGGGAGTACACAATGTCATCGATGTAGACCAGGACGAACTGATGGAGGTACTTCCAGAACACCTCATACATGAAATCCTGGAACACGGAAGGGGCGTTGACCAGGCCATACGGCATGTACACCAGTAGGGGTCATGAAGGCAGTCGTCCACTCGTCACCCTCACGTATCTGGATGAGGTTGTACGTGCACCAGAGGTCCAGCTTCGTGAAGACTGAGGCTCCTCATAGTTGTTCCAGGGCTGCTGGGAAGAGGGGAATTGGGTACCTGAACTTCACAGTTATTTAATTGAGGGCTCATTAGTCAATAAAAGGCCGCAGGCCTCTGTCCTTCTTGGAAACGAAGAAAAAGCTTGAAGCAGCAGGGGATGTTAAGGTATGGATGTAGCCTTGTTGGAGTGCTTCCTCAATATAATCTTCCATGGCCTTCTGCTCTGAGATGGATAATGGACAGATCTTGCCACAGGGCACTGTCTCACCCGGAAGCAGGTCTATGGCACATTCCCATGGCCAGTGCGGAGGCAGTTGGGAAGCTCTATTTGGACAGAATATGTTGTTGAAGGGGCGTAGCAGGGAGGTATATCAACAGACAGTTGATCAATAGGATGTTTGATTGATGGGAGGGCTTTCACAGGTCTTTGGAGGGTTCATGGAAGGAGAGGGAAACATTCTGGGTAACAGCCTTCGCCGCACTTCAGGACTCCTGTTTTCCAGGATAGCACCATGTTTAGTTAACCATGGATGCCCGAGGATGATACCAGCAGTGAACTGCCCCAGAACCAGGAAATCCAGGGATTCTTGATGGAGTTGGTCAAGCCAGGGCTGCATGGCTCCCACATCTAAGCGCACATATCGGCGGCTGAGAGGTTTACCAGTTACAGACAGTTATATAACTGATATTTGCCTTCAATGGGCCTTCACTGGAGTTGTAGTTTACGACAGAGCTCCCCTGAGATAAAGTTGTCAGCTGACCCAGAGCACTCACCCTGATAACAGAGAGATGAGAAAAGAGATCTTGGATTTCTCAGTGGGAAATTGGTGCGGCTGCATCTCGAGGGATAGTGAGCATTGTAGAAGGAATCTGCATCAGTCCTCCTCTGAGCCAGAGTAGGGCACTGGGTAGGCCATGAGACTGACCATGCAAACAGGTGTTGAAGGAGTGACAGGTGTGGTGATCGATGTTAATGTGGATGCTAAGACTACTATTTACTATTGTCCTCTTGCATTATCAACACACTCTTTTCCCGTTTAACACTGTAAAGCTGCTGTGACACAATATGTATTGTATAATGCGCTTTATAAATAAAGTTGACTTGACTTGACTTGACTTGGCTAAGGCCCATCGCAGTGAATCCACAATCTCCTGAAATGAGTCCGTGGAACTCGACATTCTTGCGGTGTTGATCTGGTCTTCTGTTATGGAAATACCAGACTCAGAAGAGATCAGAACTGGGATCTTTATTCACAAATTGAGGGTGAGTTGCAATGGGTAAGAACAATATAGCAAGGCAATACTGGAGAATGATGAGCTGAACTGCCTTTGTAGGAAGAGAGGGAGATTGTGGATTCGCTGGAGTGCACACACTTCTCCGGGATGATGACTAGGGAGGTAAACACACGATGAAGCCACAAGGGAAACGACGGAGGAGATTACAGGAGAGAATCATAGAAGGTAAGTAAGCAGGTTAGTATTCTGTATACCAATGAGTAAAGCAGACAAAAAGTAGAGGAGAAGTGTGTGCTTATATGCAGGAGCTGATAAGCGTACTGACGAGGTGCAGGTGATCAGTACTCTGGGATTGTGAGTGGAGTAAGGTAGAGACGATGGAGCTTTGTGAAACCGTGACCGTGTCAAAGATTAGATTTTTTAAGTTTTGTTGTTGTTGTCGAGTCTTCTGGCTCAACTAACTGGTAAACAGCCTTAAACACAGTCTTTCATCTCACTCTTTCTGAAATTTTTATTTTAACAGATATGTTATCGAATAATTTCAAATTAGAATAAAGATGATGATTATTAATGTTGAGATTTAGCTTAAAATGTTGAAATTTTGTTGTTTTTAAACAAACCAGCCAGAAAAGGAAATAAAAGGGCATGAATAGAATAGAATAGAATGAAAAAAAGGTATTACATTTGACATACTGCCCCCCTCAATTCTGAAATGATGGCTACACCCTGAGACGAAATCAGGTTACATATGTTTCAAATGGCATTAAATATGGTATTCTTTACATGTTTCATATGCCAGATGGCCCATGTTCCTAGTCTAATGTAAACCCCAACAAAACATTCGTAACCTGCCGTCTCTTCAGTCTCACCCCTATGCGTCTAAAGCTAGACATCACCACCTTTTTTTTTTTAACAAAACTTTTAGGAAGGTATGAGAGCTAAACTCTGTAGCACACTGACCATCCAGGAGCGGGATTGGACACATCTGATATAGACCTTTTATGCTTGTATTTAACTTCTGTTACAGACTTACAGGCTGCAATCTCACTGATCTATGCTGTGAAAGTGTGGCTTCAGTTCTAAAATCATCAAACTCCCCTCTGAGAGAGTTGGACTTAAGTAATAATAACCTGCACAAGTCAGAAATAAGGTTGCTTTCTACTGGACTGAAGAATTTACACCATGGGGAGGAGAGGTTTGTGATTTTTCATTAACAAGTAATGGTGCTGACACAATACATTTACCTATCAGTGTCTGCCCTTGCAGTGTGAAAAATCATGAAAAATATAGTAAATAATTTTTGCAAAGCTATGTGACCTTTGTTCTTGTCTTGTCTGTTGTTTGTGTAGTTTGTCTGTCTTCAAATGCTTAGATCAATCCTTTCAAGGTTTGGATTCATCTTTACAGTTTTTAAACTACTTCCTCTGTGAGATAGACCTGCAGGATTTTGGAGTGGAGCTGCTTTTTGTTGGATTGAAGAGTCCACAATGTCAACTAAAGAAACTGAGGTATTAAATAATGGCTTTAGATCCCTGGAGGTCCGGACCAGTGCAAAGGGCACGTGTAGATGCAAACACGTGCCCTTTGCCCTGGTCCTGACCTCCAGGGTGCCTAAGATGCCATATTTAACAGAAGGGTAGGAGTCTAATCATAATGAACTATTTGTTATAGGTGAGAAAGAGAAAGAGAGAGTAATTGCAGAACTACAATGCTGGCACTTAACTAAATATAATTAATTATTATGAGTAGTCAAACCAGCACAAACCAGACTCACCCTCAAGGCATCCTAGGTATATATGACTTTCTTCTTTCAGACGAATCCAGTCTGTGTTATATAAAAAAATGTCTTTGATCTTCCAAGCTGTTTAATGGCAGTCAGCGTGTGTTGCAGTGCATCAGTCCAAAAGAAGTGAAATAAAGCACATCCATCCATAATAAAAAGTGCTTCACACGGCTCCGGGGGGTGAACAAAGGCCTCCTGTAGCGAATCGTTGCATTTTTGTAAGAAAAATAATCATATTTAAAACGTAATAATCAACTTAATCTAGCTTGCGCTCACTGTTGTACACGGAAGCAGCTCAGGGCGGATGACGTAGGACGTCGGCGTTGCGCATGCGCCGCTCAGAAGTGACGCACGCGGAAGCGCAGGGGAGAGATAAAAACAAAACAACGGTCACGAATTAGAAGTACAAAACGAGGATTTGATAGAAGAATATCGGAGGATTTCGATATAAGCCAAGAGGAGACTGGTTTTCCTTTGCTAAAGTAAGGAAACTTTGCTTCCTTTGCTCCTGTTAACAAACGTTGGTTTTCATGAGACTCACCGGCGCATGCGCAACGCTGAACTCATACGTCATCCGCCCGGTGCTGCTTCCGTGTACAACTGTTGGCGCAAGTTAGATTAAAGTGATTATTACATTTTGAATATGGATATTTTTCTTACAAAAATGCAACGATTCGCTACAGGAGGCCTTTGTTCACCCCCCGGAGCGGTGTGAGTCACTTTTTTATTATGGATGGATGTGCTTTATTTCACTTCTTTTGGACTGATGAACTGCCACACTCGCTGACTGCCATTACACAGCTTGGAAGATCAAAGTCAATTTTGAATATAACTCCGATTGGATTCATCTGAAAGAAGGAAGTCATACACGCCTAGGATGGCTTGATGGTGAGTAAATAATGGGCTACTTTTCATTTTTGGGTGAACTATCCCTTTAAGTTGTGTGAATTTTATTATTTTTTTTTTTAGATTGGACAATTGCAATCTCACTGATCAATCCTGCAAAGGCTTGGCCTCAGCTCTTCAATCATCAGACTCTTCACTTAGAGAGCTGGATCTGAGTAAGAATGATCTGCAGGATTCAGGAGTGAAACTGCTCTGTGTTGGACTGAAGAGTCCAAACTGTGTACTGGAGATATTAAGGTATTTAAAACAAAAATATTACTTCAGTTATAGTAAAGATTCTGAAATTAAGGTTTAAGTCATTAAATAATTGTATTTGTCATTGTACAGACTATTTGAAATGGCTCAGCAGAATCCAGTTTATCTTTGTCTATGCCTGCCTGTTATTGTTGTGTCCACTATTCATTTTTAGTATTACTTTACTATTAATTTTTAGTTAAAAGATTGAAATGTTTATCAGCACGACCTTAATTCTTACTTAAAATGATATAATTATTAATGTACAATTACTCAAACATTCTGTGTTCTCTCTCTGTGTCTTTAAATATAAAACATGTATAAACTATGTTTGATAGCAAGTGTCATTCTAGATAAATCTGTAGTGAACTGTGAATAAAAATGTCTGCTAAATAAATAATGGGCCAGGTGTTTATTGAAGGCTGAAAGGTATGTGGCAGAAATCGGTATGAGAAGGAAAATATTGTCTAAGCCAGTGTTTCCCAACCCCTGTGCCCCGTCACAATAGTGTGCTGTGAGAGTTTGTCAGGTGTGCCGTGGAAAATTATCCAAACTTCCTATCTCTATTATATTTCGTTATTATTAATTTAAAATCAGTGCTATTGGTCTTCCTTAGGTCTGTTTGAGGGTTTTACAAAAAAGTTTACCAATGAAAAGCATTCAAAAGAGCTTATGACTAAACCTCGTAACTCCATTGGATCCTCAAACAGTCAGCGAAACCTCATAACTCCACCCTCCTCCATTCAGAAGGAAGCGCCACGCTCAGTCTGGATCTCCGCTTGTTCACAATGCAAGAGTAAATAAGGAACTGATGTTTCAATAAGTACAGTATTTTCTTTACTCAAGAAACACTATGTCTGTAAAGGCAAATGTTTTTTGTGTGTGTTTGAAGAGCAGAGAAGAGTCTTTTGTTTTAAATATACTTTGCATAGCGCTTCTTCTTTTATATAATGATATTTTGGCCACGTTTATTAAACAACAAGAAAATCTGAGCTCCCATATAACTACAATAAACTTTATAACCTGTACGTTGATGAAAACATGATGAGATGCACTCACTGCCTCAGATGCGGCTGTTAATGGCGGGCGCAATTTGAGCTAGATTTTCATAAAATGTTAAGTGCAAGTGTCTGATAAAGCCACAATACCAACTATGATAATGCAGTCTTCAATTAAAAAAAAAAATTCCCTATTTTATTTTTGGTGATATATTAATGTGCTTAGTGGTGTGCCTGGGATTATTTATCAGAACTGTGCCGTGGCAGAAAAAAGGTTGGGAAACACTGGTCTAAGCCAGGGGTGTGCAAACCTATTCCTGGAGTACCGCTGTCCTGAGCTTAGCTCCAGCCCTAATTAAACACACCTGAACCAGCTACAGTAACTTTACATGCTACATGACATTACCTGAAATATTGGTGAAATTCACTAGTATGACCGAGACAAAAAGCCGCAATTAGTGTTTTGTGTGTCTTAGATTATCTGGCTGTATGGTGACAGAGGAAGGGTGTTGTTATCTGGCTTCAGCTCTGAGGTCAAACCCCTCACACCTGAGAGAACTGGATCTGAGCTACAATCACCCAGGAGACTCTGGAGTGAAGCTGCTCTCTGATCTACTAGAAGATCCACACTGTAAACTGGAGAAACTCAAGTATGTTGGGCATTAAGATTCACCATTTCCTGTGTTTGTGCAATGCAATGTTTAATGCAGTTTTACTTATGTTTGCTTTGATGTTGTGTTTGTGTGTGAGTGTATCGATGACCGTTTGAGAGCTAGTGAGTCCTTTTTCAAGCGAAATGTCAGGTACTGAACCCGTGACCTTGGTGTTTCTAGTGCCATTCTCTGCTGTTTCAATTGTTTGCGTTTATTTCTATGTATTTTCTTACTGATGGCATCAAATCAATGAGAATGTGACCTTTTTTATAGTGTGGATCATGTTGGAGAGGTCATGATAACAGCAGGACTACGCAAGTGTAAGTTTACAAATACACAGACACACCTTTTGTCACTGTTGTTCTGTTGTGTTCTCATTCTCCCCTCTGTTTTTTCTCTTGTGTTCAGATGCCTGTGATCTCACACTGGATCCAAACACAGTAAACATTCATCTCTGTCTGTCTGAGCAGAACAGGAAGGTGACACGTTTGGAGGAGCTGCAGTCATATCCTGATCATCCAGAGAGATTTGATTACTTTCCTCAGGTTGTGTGTAGAGAGAGTTTGTCGGGACGCTGCTACTGGGAGGTCGAATGGAGCGGGTGGAGGGGGGCTGTTATATCAGTGGCACATGAAGGAATGAGCAGGAAAGGAGGAAGTGATGATTGTAGGTTTGGATTCAATGAAAAGTCCTGGAGCCTTGATTGCTCTGATGAGATTTTCACTGTCTGGCACAATAATAAAAGCAGTGACATACACATCCCATTCTCCTCTAAGAGAGTAGGAGTGTTTCTGGACTGGCAGGATGGCACTCTGTCCTTCTACAGCGTCTCTGACACACACACACTCACACACTTACACACATTTTACTCCCCATTCACTGAACCCCTCTGTGCTGGATTTAGGGTTTTTATTGACTCTTCAGTGTCTCTTCATCAGACTGAAAAGATTTGACACAATGGGGTGAAAGGTATTCGTGGGGCTGAGAAGTCTGGAACATTCACAACTGTGACCTCGTCTGTGAAAACCCAGCTAAAGTCGCCTAATATAATTATGAGATAAAGAGTGTCAAAGTAGTCATAGCTATAAAAATGATGAAAATAGGTAATGTGTGCTTATCGCTGTACATGATAGATCATATCAAGGTATTCGAGATTCAGCACTCGAATTTTCATTTATAACATTATAAATATTGAAATGAATGATTTTATTGACAACCAGCTTTTATTGATAACTAGATTATTTTAAGGACATTGCAATCATGACAACTCTCGAAAGATTTTAGCATGGTGATGGATATGACAATGTTAATGTATTTGGTCTTGGCGAAGCTCATTGGCTGCATATGCAGAATGAACTAATCAGCTTGTGCCAAGTCGTTTAACTCTGAATATCATCAGTTACATTAACAACCCGTCAGCCTGCACCATCTAGAGTTTCATGACTGAACTACATATTTTATGCCTGTTATGTGTTGAAATAACATGGTCTTTGGATGCTGATGCTTCGGGTTGATGAATTCCTATCTGACACGGCGGCACCTATGAAGTGCAATGCTGTGTACCAGTCTGCATTGATGTAAAAAAAAAAAAAGGATTGGCTATATATATATAAAAAAAATTAAATAGGCTTTTAATACATATCATTGTACTGTTTTACTGTTTAAATAAAGAACTCTTTAAAAGAACTACTTCTGTTCCGGCATTAATGAATAACTACACAAGAACACATGTGTAACACAATATCAGCACTCTAGTAACTACTAGTAACTAACAAGAAATTCTGATTAATTAATTAGTAAGTAATAGTGCTTAATCTAATGTGGTAGTTCATTATTAGTTAATCAGGAACTACTATTTTCTTTCCTTACCTCCCCAAGAACCACTAAGAACTACTGTAAACATGCTCATAATGAATGTGAATTATGCATAATGTATAATTCATTCTAAAGTGAAGGTCATGGTAACCCACTAGTGACTCAAGTATTAGCAAATTCTTCAGAAGGAATTATTTATTATTTGGATCAGAATTCTAAAATGAATAACACGATAACTCTCTAGTAATTACTGAAATCATTGTAAGCTTTAGAGGTTTTTGTAAGATTCTGGATCGTAATTCCTTTTGCTAGATTTGGTAACACTTGAGTCATTCCTAGTGGGTTATCGAGATCTTCACTTTAGAATACTGATCCAAATAATTAGTAATTCCTTTAGAAGGATGTAGTAACACTTGAGGTAACACTTTATAATAACTTTCATTAATAAATCATTAACAAACATTATATAATGCTTAATGGATCATTAGTTAATATATATTCAAGCGTTAGAAACGTGAGATAATGTGCTTGTTAATGTTTGCTAATAAACTTATTAAACATTAGATAATGTTCAAACAAATCATTATTTCATGTAAGTTAAAATGCTTACGAATGTCATTAAACCATCAATTCATATGATCAAGCACTTATTGAAAACCTACAAATGATATTAACAGATGCTATACAATGATTAAAAGCTTGTGTTAATGCACAACACTTCTGCTGCTGTTGAGGTGTGATACGAGTAAGGTTAGGGACAGGTTTGGTGGTTTGGGTAGGTTTAAGGGTTGGTTAAAGGGTCAACAGTGTACAGGGGTCAATTGTTTTATTACTATAAGTGAACACAGTTCAATCTGTTTATATTATATGTTTTATAATATGTTTATATTATGTTTTATAAATTAACAAGTATTTTCTTTTAAAAAATAATTTGTTTTCTCCTGTTTATTTATGATTCAAGGAATATACTGTTTAATGATATACTGAAGAGTAGTATACTAATGTGAGTGTTGAGGCAAGAAAAGCATTTTTTTGCACCAAAATTACAATCTGTGATGTAAATAGAGGTCTACACAACAAACAAAGACCAACAAATGAAGATCATATGAACTGAAAGTTTACTGACATTTGTAAGCATTTCAAATTACATTAAATAATCATATGTTAATCATTAGGTAATGTTTAGTAAGTTCATTAGTAAACATTAACTAGAACATGATCTCATATTTCTAGCTATATGAATATATATTAACTAATGATCTGTTAAGCATTATATTATATAATGTTTGTTAATGATTTATAAATGAAAGTTATTATAAAATGTAACCACACTTGAGTCATTACTATCAAAGACCTTAAATATATCTCAAAAATATCTCTGGGATATTTGAAAAAAAAAAAGTAGTTACTGATTAGCTAATAGTGAACTACCACTTTCAACTGAGCGCTATTACTTACTAAATAATTAATCAGAGTTTCTTGTTAGTTAATAGTAGTTACTAGAATGTTATTAGCATGAGGTATTTGTTA